AAAGCCCAAAACAAAAAACTCACTAAAAAACAGTGAGGGAGATGGGAAACCTCCATCTAATGGATTTTTCTAGGCAGACTTACAGAAATTGGCCATAGATAGACTATGTAAAAAAATATAATAAAAAAATCATCTTTCTTTTGTAAAGAGCCTCCAAAATCAGTAACCCTAGCCTTGTATTCTCAGACTCCCAAGCAGACTGAAAAAATCTTCAAAATGCATTTTAAATTAACCTCCAGACAGATCTCTGCTGTGTGAGCACCCTTTATGCAGAAGTCAGTTTTTGCATGTTTTGACCTCACTCAAAGATTAAATCTACCATTTTTGCGAAAATCCTAGATTTAAACAAAGTTTAATAGCTCAGCTACACCCGGTTCTTTGATGCACTTGCTCACACTCAATGACATCTTTTGGTTTTTGCTGAGACCTCCCTAACAATGAATATCATTCAATACACTATAGCTAGGGAACAGTACCAGCAGCTTGTCTGTTGGAAGGAGGGAGAATCAGATGTGCAAAAATTAATCCCATAGACTTAAATTAAGTCTTACTGATACTTTATTCCTTTAAGCTAGAGAAAACAGCGGTCACCAGAGCTGCTTTTTCTACCAACGGTAACACTTCGGAAAATTGTCATCACAAAGTTCCCAAACAAACAAGAAACTTGCATTATGTGTCCAATTACTTAAGTTAAGTTACTTATGGAGGCTTTTAGTCCTGAGATGCAAGGTAGCTTAAACACTGTAAAACTTGCTTTTCTATTTATAGAACTTTAACTGAGAGCGTTTGGGCTACAAAAAGTATGTTTGAAAACAATTACTTTCAACTTTCTTTAGATGATATAATTAACACATTGGCTAGCATGTTTTAGCACTGAGTGTTAAAAACCTGCCAGTAGCTTTGTTTGTAAATGCTTTAAAAAAGTTCATGACATATATAAACCTGCATCTATGTTTCTGCTTAGGCAAAAATGATTATTATTACTACTCAAATATAGACTAGTTAGATTATCTGTAGGCTTTATAAATCTGATTTGCTGCAAGCCAATGAGACCATCATAGTTAATTTCTAGTATGTTTTCTTATCTGATACGTTATGAAATTCCAAAAAAATCTCACGTTTTGAAAACCTGAAGACATGACTTATCTTGAGCAGAATCCAGGAAAAAGATGACATAAATCTTCTGTGAGGGTTGTAGTGTAAGCAAGATGCAAACCTTGTGAAGGTCACATGAAGCAATAGGCCCAAAGACTCCCAAAATAAGGGAACGGCTATTTTTCAGGAATTGTTATAAGACATATTAAGTATTTTCAGCGATCTCTTAAAATAAGTCAAAGCATTGGTCCAAGGACACAAAGAAATTTTATTTTCCCTTTGCAACAAAGAAACAGTGGTGGAAACGACTCATGTCCTTAAAAAGGCAAGATGAGGTGACCACTGTGCAAAATCTCAGGTAGCATAAATGAGCACAGCATTTCCAGGGAGTCTGAGAATTCTAGTATGAGTGAACTCTGGAAAAATAATGCCAGTTTATCATCCCATAATTGGCAATGACAGTAAAATACTAATCATTGTATCGGAAAGCCTCAATCCTTTAGATTTATAATGAAAGACTAGGTCAGAATTCTAGGAAATTTCATATCCCATTGACATACGAGATAAAATCATGCTATGTATTTGCAGACTTTCAGAGTTGTTAAAAAAACCCAAACTAAACAAAAAGCTATTCTGATAATATTCAGCTTAAAAAATTCCAAGCAAATACTGTCTGTAGCAAAAAAATATTAAACACTTGTAAGAAATTAATTGAATAATATTTTGCTAATTTTATTTACTCACAAGTGGAAATACAAATATTTTTACCAAAAAAACAGCCTTATAGGAGAGAATTAAAAAGTCCAGCAATTGTAGTCATTTCACTTTTTCCTTACCTCATCAGATCCTGGACTAAATTCATATCCAATCGCATAACACTTGAAACCATAAAAACAAGCTTTTTCATCTTTCACATAGTCTGAGGCAGTCTCCAGAGAAAAAAGAGCTTCATTTCCTTACAGGAAGAAAAAAAATTTTTTTTTTTTAAATAAAATTAATATTTCTCCTTTTTTTGTATGTTTCTTTACATAAGCATATACGAAACCTAGTCTTTATATGTAACATGTAAAGTAAACCCATGAATAACACATAGATCAACACTTCAAACAAGAAACCAAATATAATCAACTGATACACAACCAATAGCTCATAATGAGTTCGTGCCAGCTTGGATGAAGACATTTCTTCAACTTTGTTTTCTAAGATAATTTTGCAATAAAAAAAATAATCAAACTTTCTTTCATTATTTTAATAATTCACATTACTAGAAATTGTTGCAGTATGTATTTATTACCTGGCAATACTAATACCATGGTAGGCCATCCTGAAGATCCAGAGAATTTTTTCAGTTCTATCCATGAATTAAGGTTTTCATGAACAGAAGCATGCTTTGGTCCAAATCCCAGACTCTGTGCAATTCTGACAGGAATTAGTAAACGAAGAACATCCTCTGATTGGGCGGTGCCACACTGAGTGTCGAACTCTATTGTTATCCACCTGACACATTCAGGAAAAGTCACCTAAAACAAAACAGTAGTCTAATTATGTGCAGGTTTTGGGGGTGGTTAGTTTTTTTAATGCATTTAATTCTTCATTTCCCTTTGGTTCTAACTTTTTAGGCTATGAAAGTGATTCTATGATGCAATTCTGTACAGTTGTTTTGATATGCTTTAATATTAACCTAATTTATTCTTTGCAATTCAGATACACCTGAAATGCTTTATACCTTACTGAATTGTAATCATGTATTACAATTTATGTTGAGATTAAGGTTAGATATAAGAAAGAAATTCTTTACATTGAGGGTGGTGAGGTACTGGAACAGGTTGCCCAGAGAAGTTGTGGATGCCCCATCCCTGGAGGTGTTCAAGGCCAGGTTGGATGAGGCTTTGGGCAACCTGGTGTAGTGGAGGATTTCCCTGCCCATGGCAGGGGGGGTGGAACTACATGATCTTTGAGGTCCCTTCCAACCCTAACCATTCTATGATTCTATGATTAAGTATTTGCACTTGTGATACCATTTGTGATTGTTTTAAGAACTCTGCACAGGATCATTAAACAAAACAACCACAAACAACTACTGATACAAGCACTTAACTCTCAAATACTTTTAAATGCAAACTGCAATGAACACACTCCATATCTGTTTTGTACAACCCTAGAAAAGTATGCAGCAGCAGAACCACATTTGTGAATACGAATTGCAGTATGACAGCATATAGCTACAGAAATTTAAAAGCAGTAACAACTAAGCACAAGGCTTTAGATAAGCTCCATAACTTTTAGAACAATAATCAGCATCATTGCTTCAGGAAGATCATATGATAACTACATTTTCTGTGGTGGATGTCTTGCTGTCTCACAGGACAAGCAAGTGGAATAGTAATTAATGACCTTCTCCAGCTCTTACTTGATTCCAGGTTTGCTACCTCTGAATTTACAGTTGTGGAATCAATGCGACTGCAGAACTCTCTATTTCAACAATGGAAACACAGGATTTCTCTCTCAGGCATTTATCCGTAGCCCTTCACTCAGCTAGAAGAAACACTCATCTATTGCCACTGAAGAAAAATCTAGTTTTATCGTAATAGTCATCCATGTAAGGTGGAATGAATCCTACTCAAAGTGACTTAACACAGTTAAGAGGACTTCAGAGACTTCTGCAATGCCAAATCATGGTTCAAGTGAAAGTAATTGATGAAGAATTTAAATTGACAGACCAGCTACAGCCACCATAGGGATCTCTACACTATAATGCATAATAAGTTGACTGGAACTGATGTTAGGTATTTTCACAAAGCATTGTTTTAGCATATAGGTAAAAAGTCTGAGATACGATTACATAATGTACACAAAGAATTCCAACTTCTACAACCTGTACAGTTAGAGCAAAGAAACTGCATGACAATAGGAAAATTTAAGACTGAGCAAACTTAGGGACTTACAGTAGATTTCTGCATTAGGGAGCTAAAACTACACTGATTTCCACTACAGTTTCCATCATACTCACTGGAAAAACAGAGGTTTCTCCAGAAAGAAGTGCGGTAATAATATAGGAAACAGTCTCCCATATTAGACCATATGAATTATCATCCATGGTATGATAATTCAAGCAATTCTTCAGACAGTAAATGTTGATGAATCAAAACTCACACGTCGAAAGCTTTTAGGAAACTGCACGCGCACTTGGAAACGCTGCTTACCTTATAGTGCGTAACGCAGGCAGGTTTATAGGGATGCTCACTTTCTACAACAGCGTAGTGGTTGGAGGTAGTACAAGCTGAAAGGCCTTGCTCCGGCTGGTTTCCCGTGGTGCTGTCTGTAGACTGATTTGGGTTAAAAGCTGGAGGGGCATATTTCTGATTCAGGACTGCCACAGAAGGAAGTAACTGTTGCACGAGGCCAAAGACCTCAACAGCAACCTGTAACGTAACACCACGTGCAATGAGGTATTACTCATGACTGGGAGAAAACAATACTCACAAACTTACATTTCTCTGCCATGGTTGTTTTGGATATTCTCAGAATATCACTATTACAATTCATTCAGTCATTTTCCAGTTCTGCATCTACACAATCCTGACAGAAAAGCCATCACTACATTAATCTCAAATACTCCTCTTAGAGACTTGTCAAAACTGAAACAAAAGTCTGCATGCAACTGTGAGATACCTTCACTGAAACACCTTCTCCAATACTAAAAGGCTGTAACATTAACAAACAAAAAGCTTGAATCGAGAGAAAGCAAATACCGTATTGAAGTCATAGTCCAGTTATAGTCTGGTTTATAACAACATGAATATTTTAAAAAAACAATATTAAATATATTTTAATGCACATAGTGTTAAGCATCGCATTGTTCTCTAATCTTTAGAACATTTTAAAAGAAGAACACTTCCAAAGCAAAACACTTGGTTCTAAACACCAGTTCATCACAGTAACAAGGTAAATCTTTGAAATATGACTTGGAAGTATTTTTAATGAAATGAATCTGCTAGATTAAGGGGCCAGTCCTCCTTCCTCACCCTTCTTCAAACAAAAGTTAGAAGAGAGCTTACAGTTCATGAAAAAGCAATAAAAGGCAATAATGCCTACTAGCTAAGGACTAATGACATTTGTAAATATAATAACAGATTTCAAGTGTTCCAGTCACGGCACATGGAAGACTGCCACTGAAAAATACGGATATTGTTATTTATAGCTGACATCTTCCCATCTCTAAATTTGACAGAAATAATCTTAATGAGCAGGTACCACTGCTTCGGTTATTTATTGTAAAAATAAGACTCACATAATATAAAAAATATTTCATCCCACCAATATTCATCAATGAGTCATAAATGTAGATCCTTCCATCTTTTTGTCTTTTCCTACTGTTGAAAGCCTGTCATCTTTCCCTCTGTTTCCTTAAGGTATTTTTGTTCTTAATGTCTTAAATATAAGTTTAAAAACCCAGTAATTTTCAAATCATGACATGTTTTTAAAATTCTTGACTCTTGGAAAATTCATGAGTCATGTGGTCAAATATAAACCACTAATTCATAGAGTCTTAAGAAATCAAGATGATCAGATTTTTAGATTTTTTCCTTGTATACCATTCTTAAATTTCTTCAGTAGTTTCTAATGAAGAGCATACCTTGGGAATAGCTGCTGCTACTGGTCCTATGTAGGCTATTATGAGGGGAAGCAGCATTGAAAACAGACTGGAAGAGCTGAGTAGTTCTGGAATGTCTTCAGCTAAACAAAAATAATTACAAATACAGGTATTATTAATAAACGTACCACGGTTCAAAACACATCATCTTTTTCTAGTTCGCTTCTTATGAGTTAAACTTCCAGTTTCCACACTAGTTTTTACTTCAAATTATTTTCATTATCTAGACATCGTCAAATTCTAAACCTGCAAGGTTCATTTGAGATAAACATGCCATTATATACAGTTTTCTGTTAAAAAATTCCTTCCTCAGAATATAATTTTATTGCATTCTTTGCCATTTTGTGAAACTGTTTTTATACTTTCTATGGTATAAAAAAAGCTAGCACAAGCAGCTCCTCCCAGCCCTCCAAATCGATTTCTATAGCACTATGCAATATTCTGGACTTTTTGACTGGAATGGCTGAAGACAGTAGCTTAAAACAATTTAGTTTTAAGGCTAATGTCTACATTTCTCAAAAATGGATGTTTTAGTGCTTATAAATACATTACATTCACTAGTCTTCCTGATTACCACAACTGTGCAAAACGCCATAAAATTTGGAACTGACCCATCCCAGCATATCTTTTGGAAATAAAGAATCTTACCAGGTTTAATACGATACTTGCTAAATTAATGAGCACATTTATGCAAGATATCCACCTATGATATCTCAAGTGCAACTCAATGACAAAGTTACTCTCAGTTTGACTCCTACAGTAATGACAGGTTAGAAAAATAGTCTTTGGAAAGCAAAAGAGAAACATCACAATTTTTGTATCACTGATATTCTACTATTATCTCTTGCTATCAAAGAAAGTTTTGAAAAGTAAATTTTGAAAGTCAATTTTCAAAAGTCTTACCATCTACAGCAAGAGCCCTGTGCAACAGGTCTTTGGCTGCTCGTACAACAGCGCTCACAACAGAAAGAGCCCTGCTACAGTTTTTATCTTCTTCATTAGCTTTGTTCAAAAGCTGTGATTGCAGATCTCCATCATACTCACTCCTGGAAGGTGGATTAAGTTAAAGTAAGTTCACAAAATACAAAATTATATTAAAAAAACATGACTGACTGATTTTTGGCACAGAGTAAGTACAACAATTAATTTATAATAAAGCAATAAAGGAAACAATCAAAGAAATCACAGAGGATATTTTGGAGGCAATGCCTCAGTGTTAGCCTTTGCAATCATTTTATTTTTGGTTTGGCAGAAAATATGAAAAGTGTGTTTCTTAAATTTTTGTTTCTTTTGACTAGATGCCTTTTAAACCACAGAAATGTATTAATTGTTATGTTCTTCCAAGCCCAACCATCTACCGTGATAAAAAGAGAAAAATCCTAAACGCGTCACAGAAATGACTAAAACTCTTTCAATGGGTATTTCTGGAGTATCATAACAGGGAAAAATATTTTCCCTCCCTATTCCAAAGACTAATTTTGGTTTTGAAATACAATCTTAGGCTTATCTTGAAGAAATAGTTTTTTTTCTTTGAAATCTACTCTGTATGTCAAATCAAATTCTTCTAAACAACATTTTGCACAAAACTATTTCAATAAGGTATATAAAGATTTGGTTTGATTTACCTTTTCAAGCCAGTCAAATGATAATTATAAACTAATTCAAGCCCTCAATACGATAGTAGTTCAGCCTTGGCATAGACAACTAAAATCACGTAAGTCAACATGTAAAGCAAAATTTCCCTCTTTTGGATTTCTTACGTTTGTCCAGAAAGATTTGATTGTGCAAAACATCATTCCAGAACATTAATATTCCAGGACTGGCACATCAGAATGCTCAAAAACTTTACTTGGAGCAGTTCAGTGGACAAAAAGGACATCCATCCTTCTCTATGACTTAAATTGACCACTCTTAGAAAAAATTTTTTCATTCATTCATTTTTTTTTTCATTTTCATTCATTTTTTTCAAATTTTTTTTTTTTTCATTTTGGTCCATGTGCCCTGGAATTGTAGTTTTGCTGTCAGCCTCAAGCCTTTTTAACTTGAACTTATTAGTGACTGACAGCAGGTGCAATTCCAACTGGGTACAATTCCAAGAAATCCTTCCAAAGTCTTTCTGCCCTAATCAGAAGTGTGTTAACACACTTCTTTCGGTATGGCCTTTCTTGGCACTTGCATAAGCAAAAGTTCTATTTGTATTTGAGCATCCTTCAAACAAAAGAGAGTGTGAATCTTACAAGCTCTGTTCTATAATAGTTGACTGAACATTTGTTCCTTGACTGTAGACAAATCAAAACCTCAAGTCAGTACATATCAAACCGGGAATCCTCAAACTGCCTAAGTCCATAAGCATAGTCATCCATCAGATAGCATTTAGGCTTCTGTTGTCCAAGCAAACTTCAAAAGACGTGATTACAGGAAGCAGCCTGCAAATTTTCTAAACACCACAAATTATTCTGGAACAGCTCCGAGTTGTGCCATTAAGGTCCTTCAAAAGCTTCTTAGAATTTTAACACAATTTAAACAAATAAAAAGAGACTGTTATAATCTGAATACAGCACTCTGGTGTGTTTTTGCCATATGTCAGCTTATTATCAAATTCAGAATGCCCTGAAGCTTCCATTTACTGAAGTTTTATATTCTTTGCTTTTCTGAAATCAAAGAGATTGTTATTTCTCCTTTATTGCCTCTTTTGCTTATATAAAAGCAGAAATTCTAGGAGTGGGAATAAACATTTTCCTTGTCGTCTTTCATCCTTTCTACATAATATGATACTTCATAATAAAATTCATCCAAATACTGGAAGAATTCCCTAAACACAGATGTCCAAGATTACAGGAGACTAAATCAACAAAAGTATCATGATAGGCACCACTGTAATTTCATTCTTTGACAATTACTTCTAGTATTGCCAAGCTGGATCTTTGAGTACAGCCACCCTCATATTTTATTTAGAGTTTAGAACCATCTTGTATCTTCAGATACACTGTTATAATTTTGGTAGGAACTTAATTTTTTTCATATTTTCCTTCAAAACTTTAAGAGCAACACGTTCCTGTGACTGTTAGTCCAAAATATGTCATTTTTTGTAGCATTACTTTATGCTCTTCAATTTTATTAGATAGGTATACCTCACACATAATTAAATATCAAAGTAAACTACTATTCCTGCTCCTTTTACTCCTTAGATCTAGCGTTGATCAGCCTTTTATCACAAAAATTGAGATTTCAGTAAAAGGTGTGACACATTTTTTTTCCGTACAGATAATGGTAGTAACTCATACATTCAGGTGCTGCCACGTTTTGAAAATCATATCTTCATGCATATCAGGGTAAGCACCTCAAAAATTAAAGCAATGCTTCCTGCAAAAGCATTACCTTAAGCGAATTCTTACTAACATCCTGAAAGGCTAAAATAAAGCCTGCAGGAAAGTCATATGTTTCAGTTGATTTTCTTCAAACAGCTTCAATTTCTCTTTTTATATCTTAGAACTCTACAGTAAGAGAGGAGACAGTTCCTATATGAACAGACCTTGCTTCACTACCTGGTGCAATCCTTTCTGGCAACAAAGGAAGGAACTGAATGAAATCAGAGAAAGAAACATTCCAGTGAGTAGTCTCTCAAAAATCTCTTAGGTTACGGAAAAAATAGAGATCAAAGTAGTGCATCTTACCAGTCTCCCATATTACAGCTTTAAAGTAGTGGACAATGGACCTTGTATGAGGTCAACCATCAAATTATTTGCCAAATATATATATACACACACATATATTTACTTCTCAAAAATAGATGTGGTATAATAACAATACGATGATTTTATTCACTTAGAAATGGATCACAACCACACACGAACCTGTAATAAAGAATCTGTGGAATTTGTCCTCGTGTTTGGTTTGTGCCATTACTGCTCAGACTACATGTACTAAATGTAAATGTTACACCGTCTGGACACTGAACAGTAGTCATTCCTCCATCTCCATTGGCAGTCCGGCTTCCATAATTCCTCAAACGAACTGCGTATTTCACATTTTCCTTAAAAAGGAAAGCCAAAAATAGCACGCAATATAAAACAAGTCTACAAGTTAGGCTTTGGGGTATTATGAAAGCTATTATTTTACATTTATACCAGTGAGTCTAAAAAGTCTTTTAAAGCACTCTACAAATATACTAACTGAAAAAGATCCAGCATTTAATAAAAGCCAAAGCTGTTCTGTATTCCTAAACAATGGACCATAACTTAAGTAAAATATTACTTCTAATTACTTGAAGAGTAACCAGGAACCCAAGAAAATTAGCTACTAATTTGCACACAAAAAAGTTGCACATTCAAGAATATTCTAAATTACAAAGCAATCACAATCTATCTTACCCTATTTTAAAAATTAAGATTTAGTTTCTTTTTGCTGCTGGGATTTGAACTTTTCAGTTACAGGGTGAAACTGTAAATTTATAAAGCAACCATATCAGGATTAATTTGTAAGTGTGTACATAAAAAAACCAATTTACATTGAATAGCCTGATTTTTGTTATCTAAAGAAGTCACATGAAACCTACAGATGTGCACTTCTTTTATTTACCTTCAATGGCACAACCTTGTCAAGTCTGATTTCAGCTATATCACTGGGAGAATCATCTGTGGTGTAAGTTCCTTTAACCAACTCTAGAGATGTCCATCTATGAGAATGAGTTGAATCTCCAGTATGATCACTCTGATTCAAAGAAACAAAGCCTCTTTAATACATTTCTAATGTAACCAAATGACACGTTCACACAATTGTGCAAGTTTTATTTTCTTGCATGAATTGTTACACAGCATTACAAATAGAACAGAGACGAAAAGCCTGTTCTGAGTCAATAGTGAAGTCTTTCTGCTAAAAAGGAAATTACTGAGCAGAGAGGTTAATTTCCCATAGCAATCTATGCTTGCCCTTTGGAAGAGATTAGAACAGTCACCTGAAGTGAACAACTGGGTGCAAAAGAACAGAGGTGTGTCTTTATTGCAAGAACACACAGTACAGTTTTATGCTTCTTTGAAGAGACTACTTCAACTGCACATGAAACTAGCTATAGCCTGACCATGCCGGTAGGCTATCCTTTTCTTCAATCTTTGGTTTAAAATGTTTTAAGTTGGTCTGTTTTATTTCTCATTTTCCTTAGTAGTTTGCAGAGAGATAACTGGTGCTAATGTACATTTAGCTCCAGGAAGTGAAAAGTCCACTAAACTTCAAAAAGTATTTGTAATACAGTAAGGTTTCAAAACCATAAGCAAGTAAGATCCTACTGGATATGGTATGTAGCTGCAATACCACAAAACCCATCACCATAAGGAAACAAAAAACCCACTCCCGCACTGTTGCACTGGTAGCCTAGACTGTATAAGAATATTACAATATTACATTATAAAACACATTCTGAAAAACTGAGGTTACTTTTGTTCAAATTGTTTTTTCTAATTAGTACTTACATCATCAACTAGTACTTCCAGCTCATACTCATGAATTCCCCCACCACCATAAACAGAAAATCCGACTACAACTACACCAGCTTTGTCAACAGAGAAACATATTGCATCGGGGGATCCATTTCCAGTATTCCAGCTTCTTCCCTGACTCGTTTTAGTAAATCGGTTTGGAGTGGATTTGACAGAATGGAGAGAGTTCAGCCCATCAACCTGTAAAAAGTTAAATACCAGGAAAAGAAAACATTAATGGCTAAACACTAGATAACTTTAATAAAGCAAAGTTAAGTGAATTAAATTCCCGGATTTTCAACTGGGAAAATTTTAACAGTCAATTGATGAAATACAACAGATGTCACTACAGGGGCTTCTATTCAATACTGGTTAAAAAGAAAAAAGGAAAAAATTTCTGGTAATTAAGAATGAACCAGGAATAATTAGGAATCTGATTCGTAACTTTTTCAAGTATTTAAATATGTGTTTCATAGGATGACTTAGCATGAAGGATAGTTTAACTGTGCTTCAAGAAGAAGAGTTACATATTTCTGCCTTAGGTAAGTCCATGATCAGAGGAAAGACACAGATCTTACATAACAGTAAAAATCTCTTTAATCAAGATGCTATCAAAAGTTGGGTTCTTTCAGTGGAAAAAACCATCTGCTGATACTATGCAAACTGTGACATGCTTTTAATAAAATCAAATAAGTTTCTATCATTTAACGACATTATAGTGTCATAAATGGGAACTTCTGTGATAATGAATCTCTGTATTTTAAAACGCTGAACTCAGTACCGCTCTCAACTTTGAATACAAAGCAAATAAACCGGAAAAAACTCTAATGAAACCTCAAAAATACATAAAAATGTAATGCATACATTATATAACATTGAATACACAAAGGAAGATATGTGTAAGGAATATCTTCCATATAAAGGAGGAAGGCACAATGTATAAACAAAGTGCACGACAAATTCTAACAGATAATCAAGAGCAGATAGGGTTAGAACTCATGAGGCACCCGTGACACCATCAGAGGCACAGAGATGCTCAGGGATGTGGCATTGCCTCTGGTAAGCACTGAACAAATACATTTTGAATGCTTACGTGCAGAAACATGCATGTAAAAAGAAAGGCACTCCGAACAAAATTGACATTCTTTAAGCAATTCACAAAGTATTCTTCAGCCATAATGAAATAGCTAATTAACAATAGTGTTGCTCTAATACAGTGTACACATGCTTTTAAAACTGTTCAACATCTGAATGCTACTGAGAACTCCAGCATTTATGAAAGATCCGCACACCTATATAATTGCTGTCACAGCCCGTATCATATTCATAATATACCTGTCCTGAAAGACTTCTAGGAAGGATTTTATAGAAGCTTTACCTCAGATCCCAATGCCGATGCTGTAAGCTCACTCACAATACTAGCAAGCAACCCACAGGTATTAGAAACTAGGTGTGAAGAGAAAAGTTCATTTTCTCGTCTAAGGCTGTTCCGGACCGGCAAAACAACAATGACCAACATCTTCTCCAGCACTTCCCGAAAGCTTGTCATCCCTGAAACATTTTCTTCACTCTGCATTATAAAAAGAAAAATTAAAAATGACGTTGTTCTTAAGTAAATAAAAAAAAAGTTTGCTTTTCACATATTATAAGCATTTAGGTAATTGAAAAATCAGTGCCTTCTTAAAAATAAGAAATGTCTAGAAGTTAAAAAAACCAAAACCTAAAAATTCTCAAAGCTATCATAATACGAATTCTTTGTCAAAAAACTGATTTAATATTCTTAATTTCCAGAATGAGGTGGTGTTGACTTTACCTATTGCATTACAAAGACATATAAATGTCCTTTTCAGGAGGGAGCTTTTCTTACAGCCCTCCTTGCCATACTATTTATAAGCGTATGTTAGAATTTAACAGAGATATAGCTATCTATGGAACTATTCGTATCATTGTCTTCCCCATTGTCTAGAAAGAAACACAGATGTTAGCTTTGATGTTAGCAAAGAGAATCTTCTGTGCAAACAGGTAAGATTAAACCAGTGATAGGATGATTTTCTTTACTGAATGAAGACTATGAAGCAAATCTAAGCTTAGGCACCTACTGTGCTTCCACCTAGCAGTGACATCCACTGTTTTTCAAAGCAGCCATCCACACTGAAGTCATTCCAAAGACGGAAAAATAAAATAAAACAAGCTCTATTGATAGAAATCAAAGGTTTGTCTTTCTCACCATTTTGTCACCCAGAAATATCCTAGTAGTGAACAGATAGCAAAGAAAATCAGATCAAACCAACCTGTACAGATACATGCACAGAACTTTTTCTATCTTTAGCAGTTAAGAGGGAGCTGTATCCGAGAGTGAAATATTAGCTTTACATTTAGTGGCTTTTGGTCAATTTTTTCTTCATCAACTTGTGTGGGTGCTTTTTAAGTCCTTGAAAACTTCTAGCATAACAATGGCCTGCAGGAAAATGTTCCACAGCTTAACTGCGTATTTTATGAAGAGCAGCTACCTTTTGAACTTACCTTTCACTAAGGTCTCTGGTTGCTCAAAAGTTTTGGTATCGAACACTCAACAATTATCTTCCATTTACTTTTCATGCATCATCCACAATTTCATAAGACCTTACCTCTCGTCTTCTAAACTGAAAAATACTACTTCATAGTTCCATATCTTTGATTATCGCCTTTACCCTTTTCATTCCTGTAAATCTATTCTGGAATAATAGAACTGCAAAAATACAGCATGCGAGAGCCCATGGTTGGGAAATTGTTTTATAACCCTTGATAGAACTATATGAACTGGATTACACTTGTCCACCTGCTAGTTGACTCCTTTAAAAACTCCAGTTTGAGATATGACTTTTTCTTACCAAAGCTGTAAAACACTGAATCTATCCACATGTATATTCTTGTGAGCATGTGAAAAAGTTGAAGAACTATTGCAGAAAACACTATGCAATAGAAGACAGCTCTAAACTGTATTTCTGCCAATTTAATATTTCAAAACAAGTAAGATTAATTTTTGCTCAGACATTCTCCAAAAAAGAAATAATTGGAATGTTTCAGAATAAACGATGAAAATTGGATAAAATAGCAAGTTTCTGAAAAAAGCCTTTCAGAAAGAAAACACTCAGGCGAATTCAGCTACATCCTTATAAAGCTAAAACGTAAACTTACATAACTGTTTTCTGTTGCAAAGTAAAAAAAAACTTGTTACATTTTTAGAATATATCCTAACCTGACTGAGTTTTTCCATGTGTGCAACCAAAAGAGGAAAACGATGGGCCAGAGCAGAGTCGTTCTCAGTGCTGACTTGTTTGACCATTGATCGCAGCAACGCCTCTCCATCATAGGCGATCGGAAAGATGGAGGTCAGTTTGACTGAGGTGTGGCAGAGAGCAGACATAACAGCAGCAAGAAGCCGGCTACTGGAGGTTTTGAAGTTTGCTTCCTGGATGTCCTAAAAACATTAAAAGAAATGAATAGAATGGCACTGTTGCATTCAAAGTAAATGTAGGAGAAATTACTTTTGAAAGGAACCTTCTGGTTCTATAGCAATTATAAAAATAAATTCAATAAAGTTCATTTACTGTTTGCTTTCCTGTGAATTTTACGTTATCTTCTCTCATGAGCTTCCATTTAGATCTTTCAAATTGAAGTAATTAAAATTTGTTGGCTGACATGTTATAAAATAATAAAACCATTTAAAATTATTTTTGAAATTATCGCACCCTTTGAAGACAAAGCACTTGTATAATTAATCAAACAATTTAATTAGAATAGTATATTAAAGAACTGATTCTTCCTTAAATTTTTATATGCCAAATGAAATCTCATGCCAAGAAGCAGATTGCTTACATCTCACTGCAATCAATGCAAGCAAGCAACTACACTGTTTAGATGTAGGATTCTCATTCACATTAAGCAAGACACTTAGAAGAAAGTTGTTGATTATAGAATAATATTGCCAGCTTCTCATGTACTTTGCTGGATTAGAGCACTGTTGTAACATTTAATAATGAAAAATTATTCAAGTATCAGTGAGGAATATAAAAAATGCCACGTGTATGCTCCCAAGCAACGTGCAGTAAAAGTAATCATGTAAGGCACAGCCTCAACACTGAAAAAGCAGGTGCTGACAGTTACCAGCACCACAAATTTTCTTCCTTGTCCCAAAAAGAATCTTACTGCTAAGGGAGACAGAAGTTCCTAGCTCTTGTTGAACTTGGACATTTTTATTTTTCTTAAGAAAAAAACAACCACAAAACAAAACAAAAACCAAAACCCAATCATTAAAAAAAACGAAACCACAGCTGAGTTCAAGTCACAAAGCAGGATAAACACAAAAAACGAATAAAGGTTTTAAATACCGCTTGGCTTCTCTTTGAGCAAAAGGGCAAAATGTAATTTGTAATTACAGCTAAGTTGTAATATTCACTTGCACCATTTTAACGTACCTGGTCCAAACAGTTCAGCAAGTCACAAAGACATGCCCACTGGAGAGCTGGTGTTGGATAAAACGAATGAAAGCAAGCTGTGAACGTATTATGGCATTCCAGAAGAACAGCTTCTAAAAGACTGAGAGGCTGACTGAGGTATCCTTGTGGATCGTTGTCCAACTTCACCATGCAATGATCAACTCCTTCAGATAAAATTTTTCTCAGCAAGGTCCTAGTTTTTCCAATGCAATCTGCTAGTTTGCTGGTTTCTTCTACAACTGCCTTAGCTGTAGCTATAAGGTTACACAAAAAGGACCATTGAATGTACAATAAACGAAACATTTTCATATTAAAATACGCATTTTACATGTAAATAAGCCAACAATTTAGCAACATTGATGAATCTACATTTAAAGAAGTTAATTTCAAAAGGAAACAGTGAAGGGTCTTAAACTACATCAAAGAAACCTGAACACCAGAAACTTCCAATTTTCCAGTCTTTCATAATGTATGCTGCATTTTAATATGAGCATTGTTAAACTACAGGCATGAAAACCAGATACTATCTTTCAAATTTAAATTGTACTTACCACTAAAGCAGCTAATAATACAGAAATGAGAAAAAAGAACATACAAATAATCCAAAGGAACTCAACTGTCAAGCCAAACAAGAAATTAACTTTAAAATACACACAAGTTACAGTGTAAACATGTGGTGTTGGATATTTGGTTATGCAGACAACTGCAAATACTCCACTTCTGACAGCAAGCCTCTTAATTGCTTCAGTAAAACTATCTGTATATGCAATTCTATTTTATAGAACACCCTACATGAATACTTAGATCAAATTTTGAATGTCTTGTAGATTATTATTTGCTGATGAATACAACACAAGTGAATTAAGAGGAATACCTGATATTGGATATATTTCACAGGTGTAGACCCTCAGCAACCTCAGGCAGCAAGTGCCCACAAAACGCAATCTTTCTAAATCTAAAAGAGTAGCAGTGTATTGGAATCCTTTGAGTCCACGAAGTTCTTCAACTCCCAGCACCAGTGTTGTCCAGCTCCAGTGAAGAATGCTCAATAAAGATTCAAAGCATTCCTATTTCAGGGTATGAAGGATACAGAAGACATATTTTGTGTTAAAAACAAAAAGCGAACTTTCAGCACCAGAATAAGATGAAAAGCAAATAGCATCTATATTCCTGTTTACTATGAGAAGACATTTACGTCTATACACATCTACTATACCACATGCAAATCCTGTTTGCTTGAGAATGAAAAAAGATCACTAAGAACATAGGGAATGCTTCACTGTAACATCATGTTAAAAGTTATTTATAACATATGTCATAGTATTATGTGTGTGGAAGTGTCTCAGTTATTTAAGAACTAAGAACTGTTTATATTCACCTGTAATACAGACACTTTTCAGTAAATTTTACTTGCTTCGTCCACACATGAATAGTGTAATACCTACTTTTAACAGAATATATTCTTGTCACAACAGTAAAGACTTATCAGGGCTGTCTTTGCTTTGATTTTTAACAGTTATGATCTGCAAGATCATGGGAACTAGATCATATTTACACTACTTGAAAGTTCAACAGAAGCATATGATATCCACAAGAAATTTGAGGATTTAAAAAGGCTTGTCCAAATATATGTCTCCATTATTATTAGATGTGGTTGGTTTGTGGTAATTTCATAAAGTTATATCTCAGAAGGCAAACCCCAAGTATTTTACAATGAATATCTTCAAGCTGCAGGTATGCCTTCAAGCTGCAACAATCAAGCTGATTGTTAAAAGTTAGTTATAAAATATCTAATGCTCTAAAAAGCCCAAACTCTCCTCTTATTCCTCACCATGGATCTGAATTGGGATAAGAGCAGCAAGGTAATGAAGAGGCTGGATACAATGTGAAGTACTAAAAGCCATAGGAACTTATAGCTTAATGCAAATATTTTTAAGCAAATGTATATTAAGAATAGCTATTCATATGTCAACAATATGATTACTAAAAATGTGAATTGTGTAGATAATATTTCTAGAAGAAACCTGAACAGGAGAAGATCATCCCAGTCATTAGAGAATACTGAAGAAATGGAAAATACATAAATGAAAGCAAGCAAGTTGGTTAAGGAAATCAGACTGAGTGTCCATATGGAGGCAGTAACTTCAACGTAACTATCAGTAGAGACTACTGACAGTATTTGTAATACAGTATAAAATATAAACCAGGATGGAACTGAAAATGAAGTAATCATTGCTTGTAACAGATAAGGAAAGGACTGCACTTCAAAAACAAAGACAGAATTGGCCTTATCTTGCATGATAACATCGCATTTCAACTTAATTAAGTATTCCTCAAAATTTGACTAACTTGTATGCGAAGAACTGCAGACTATCTTCTATTAATAGTTGCAGTTCACTGTGCCTATTAATACTCCTTACTCAATTTATCAAAGTTTAATTAAATGCTGTCTGATCCTCAATGTATATTGGAATGCATCCAAGAAGAAGATGAATATCACCAATGACTAATTAATGACAGTAATTTAAAAGCCATGGAAGAGAGTATAATGTAAAGCTCCCTCAAAACTCTAAAAAGCATGCTAATATTAATCTTGGCAGGGAGAAAGGGGGATTGGACTAGATGATCCTTTGAGGTCCCTTCCAATCCCTAACATTCTGTGAAAGGCTTGTACATTGAATACAACCATTCTATGATTCTACGATTAAGTATGAACTCAACCCCACATCTCCCCAAAAATTCTCCAAACTAAGTAGCTTACACATGAAAAATAAGCTAAACCTCAAACAAATTCAGGTCAATATCAAGCTTAGATAAAAATTTAAACCTAAGCTAAAATCTTCAGAAAAAGTAAAAAATTACAATGTTCTATACAACTGTGTACCTAACTTCTGTTTGATAAAGCAGCCAGAAAAAAGTCATTAGTCATTTCCACATGCATGTCTTTCAGTTTTCAAAGCATGAACGAACTTGCAGGAAACACAGAAGTTTCTTGATAGTACTCACCACTGAGACAGTTCTGGCAAAAGATCTCTTTAAAATATGCACAGGTTCACTGGTTTGCTGTTTTCCTTTGGACGCACTGCCATCACTTGTTGGCAGCCTGGAAGAACAATTTAAGAACTGACTTGAAATCTACATCAAGTTTTTACTGTTTGTATTATTCGAGTGGAACAGAAGTGGAAGAAAACCTTGTTAATGATCCAAAAAAACGTTCAATTTCAGTGTAATGTCCTCTAGTTTCTAATCCTTCTAGACCAGCAATCAAATACCTTGAATTCTGTTTAACTGGCAGAATTGTGACAATTGATAATAAAGCTGAGATCTAATTACATATTACGTTATTACAAGCATTTACTGTATTTATTTAGACGACATTTTTAAGACTCAAAATGTTACTCCTCAAAGAACACTAGTTTATTGGTATGTCTAGGGAACATGTTCATTTTCACTTTGAGATACCAAGGCATAACAAGCACTCAGAACCATTTTGTCTATTAGTATTTGTGGAGATAAAATCAATCCATATCTCTTGCAGGCAGATGCAAGTTTAAGCATATCTTTATTGCTTCAATTCCAATCAAACTGCAATCCAAAAGACAAAAAATTTTGGACAATAGGAAAGAGAAAGAAGAGGAACAAAGGATGACAACATCTTGAAGAATTCTGGCTCCTAGTAAAGAAGTATTTTTATCTTTTGGTTACTGAGTCCTTATTATATTTGTAACTCTGACGTATATGGAATATTGTTTAGAATCAAAATATCCAAGAGTGGGTCCTAAAGTCCCTCACAATAAAAGTAAACCCAATACAGGCAGTAACTGTTACTGCGCACCTTTCCTTTTCTGCCACTCATGGCTCTTCGGCCATATCCTTCCTTCAGAGGCCCCAAGGCTTGTTTGTCTTTGGCTACAGCCATCTTTCCATAGAAATTACCCAAATGATTAATAGGTTATGCCAGAACTTTAAGTGCATCAGTGAAAAAGAAAAGTTCTTCTGGAGAGACAGAGGTCTATGGGCACAAAGCTTAACCTGTAAACATGAGCAGTTCTGGTAAGGGACCCTGAAAAGGACATTCTTAGAAAGGATGTAGCAAGAGAACTGGTATGAAAAAATTCCAAGTTTTCAAATCAAAGTGTGAGCAGGGGGAAATATGTATATAGATAAAATATAAAAATTAGGTCTCGTATATATCTGAGGAAATTTGAAAAATATATTGGCAATACAGAGAAAGAGTTCTTGCTTTTTAAAACAGTTACATAATTTACCATGGGAATAATAAATTAAGGGTAAGTTATTGTAAAACACCATTTGTTTTTATTTGTTGTTTTTTTTCCTAATTAAAATAATCTCATGAGGCCTCCTAAATAGAATACTTCCCAACTAGCAAAGAAACTAGCGTGTTAGAGGAAATCATGAGGCTCTACAGAACTAAATGAAGGTCTCAGAACATAACATATGAAGAATGACCTCTTAAAGAAAAACTGCAAAGAAATAAATGTTGGTATAACGAATTTATTACTTTTCTCAAAGACACTAAATTTTCCCTAACTTTTTCAGATAGTGATATCCTTAGCTTAATACAACAATAAGTTCATGAAACACACGCTTACTTTAACAGGGCCTCTTTTTAAAAAACATGTCAATAAATTGTTCTAAATAGAGGTCAAAATATTACCTGTATAGTAACTGCGGGATCTGCCCAGCATTAACATCTGTACCATTATTTGATTTCTTGGAACTTTTAAACTGAAATACAACACTGAAAGAGAAATAGTTCTGTTATTATTCAAGCAATATTAGATCTCTTCTTTTGCGTTAAAAAATATAGAAGAAGGATAAATTACCCATCATCCGTAGTAATAGAGGCCTGTCCATGAGATCCACAATCACTGCTAGGTCCTGACACTCTTGCCCAGGCTACATACCACCAGCCAGCTTGTAGGAGTACTGGTTCATCAAACATCATTGCATACTTCTCTCTGGGAGAATTTAATTTTGAAAAAGATACATGTGAATTAGTTTTTAGACTAATCTTTAACAAATTATACCCTGCATATAAAAGAAAATTGAAAATTAATGGAATTAAGTTATTCATCTCAAGGATCTATTTATATTCAACATTTAAAAGTACTTTATTGAAAAATATTGTCGTAATTAAAAAAAATAATAACTCAGAAGGACCTGCAAATGCCTACATCTAGCTTGATCTTGAATTTTGAAACAATCAGATATCAAATGCCAGATAGAGTAAGGAGAGATTAAGTTAACACACATAAACCCAATTACATTTAATACATAATACTGCAAGTAAAGTATTAAGTTATACTCTTAACTCAATTTCAGAAAATTCTGGGTACATTTTTGTAAATGATGAGTTTATACATAAATTCTTAAGAATTACACATTAATATTAAAGAAAGTAATAGAATACATATACATAGGAATATTAAAGAAAGTAATAGAATATACATACATAGGAATTAAACCTAACAGAATTAGGCATGGATGATTTGAACATTGAATTGTTTCGTAACAGGGAACGAAAAAGCAGCTAAAAACATGGCTAACCCCGTCCACATGCACAAAATCTTTCAAGCAAAAACTGCTTGCATTCTAATGAGCTGAAACACAATAACTCTTATTTTGGTTACGATAATTTAATGATGAGTTGCTTAATGCAAATACCCATTGAAAGCATCCTTTTGATAGAAGCATTCAAAGGAGCTGCTGCCATGTTTTGTTTCACCATAGAAATATAGGATTTGACTTTGATTTATATGAGAGCAAGTGTGAGATTTTTTCTTTCTTTTAATTTAGTACCATAATGGCTTAGTGAAATATTTGATGTTTTACTACTTTAGCCAACACATTTTGTTTGAGTTTAAATTTTACATCACTTGCTACAAACTCTAATGATGTAGATCATCTCCATTGATGATGATCTCAAGTCACTTTAAAATGTGTATAAAGAAAGTAAAAATAAAGATCAAGAAGTAGGTAGAAGTAGGTAAGGAAACTTCTTACCTAGCAGCACAATCATACGCTAAGACATCTGTTTCAGCAAGAAGGTCTCCATCAGTCTCATGGTCTCCCCCATCTGGACCCAATTCAAACAACTGGTCGAGTAAGAAAAAGGTAAAAATATGTTTTAGCTGTTGGAAACTTCACAACACCACTTTTTCCTGTCTGGCGTTCTGGATACTGTCTACTACTATTCTTTCCCACCTTCTCAAAAGTAATTGCTAGTTACTATTGCAACAGTAATTGCTGTTACTATCACTGACAGGGAAATTCTCATCGGAATTCAGGATTTTACAATATCATTAACTGTTAAAACACAGCAATTGACACTGACCTCCCAGCCTTACGCCCAGATATATTCTTAAGTGGAGGAACTCCCTAAATCTTGCAGGTAAGTGAAATGCAGAGCATCTAAAAAAGGCAAAGTCAGGTAGAAGGTGCAGGCTTTCCATCACAGATTGAAATGCACTGAAGATACACGCAACTTTTCTGGAAAGGGACAGCTTGACTATTTAGCAGAGCTAGACAATAGTGTCATAAACAGTTGAAAACTAGGAGATGATACTTTTTTCAAAAGAACTTGGGTTTCTCACTCAGTTAAAAATCACTTCTACAGTTTAATCAGTTTGGGAAAGGACCACAAATACATGTCTATGACTTCTCTTGCAAACACCTATTTAATACATAGTTTATCTGTGGTAGGACTGGCAAATCTTACCCTGGATATAAGCTAATCCTAGACAACCAGAAGTAAATTGAAAAAATAATTCTAGAATGCTTTCAGAGGGTTACTACCTTTAGTATTTCAACATTATTCATGCTTTTTCTTTTTCCTGTTAAGTTTCTTGGCTTTCCTTAATCATTTGCAATTCTCAGTCATAGCATTAAAGTAGAATAAAGTACAACTGCTTATTTTGGATCTCCTGTTTTCTTACGCAAATGTTAGTGCTAAGTGCATGCCATCCATTTCTCTAAAACAAACCTTAACACCTATTCATCTGAAAATAGAAAAAACACCTCAATAATCCACTAAATAACAAGTAACAATAACATATTCTGAATATACAAATCTAATCTATATCTCAGACAGATATTAGACCCTTCCTTTACAATGTTTTTCAGGGAGTTTCTGAAATCCTTATTAAATGCAGGAACAGAAGCTACTTATCAGAAACCAGAGCTCTGTTATCACCCTGTGTGTTTATGTGAGCTTTTTATTCAAAACCAAGTTTATTTATTAATTTTAAATCAGCATACATGCTCCAGCCCTAATCATCCTTACATTTGGCACAATGCAGAGTTAAGTATGTTTGGTGTTATTCACTCTCAGTTAAAGAATTCCAGCTGAGAAGCTATCCAGCAAGCAGTCTGAGAAAGAAGGCAGCAGGGACAGTGGGAAGTAATGGCTCAGCTGGTACCAAAGGAATTCCCGCTACTGATAAGCACTCTTTATCTGTTTTTGAGAAGCAGTCCCTCATGTATTCTGACATAGGACGTGATTCTAACAGGAAGCCCACAACATCAATTTTCTGCAGGTGGACCTCTGAGCTTTGTGTCAACAGATCACTGCCATACCCACTGTCGTATCTGCTCCGTAAGATGGCATAGCATTTAGTAAAGGCAAGAACGGGCCAATTCTTGACAAGAACTGTAATTCTCAGATCTCTGCTTCACCCACATTACCTATGTAAGGTTCATTACTTCTCACCAAGAAGCCTTCTTCTAGTTCTATTACTAATGCTTTTAATATATAGTAAAACACTTATTCATCAAGAAATAAAATCAATCATGGTTTTAGGTGGCATTTCTAGAGTTCTGATTTTGAGGCATACCATTGTTTAAAACAAAACCAAAAAACTTACCTTTATTTTAGCCGTGTATTCACCTCTACCTCCAAAAAGACCAAGACCACCTAACAAAATATCCGTATCGGCACAGAAACGGATAGCTTCTACTGAGTGGGCCGAATAACCCCAGCCTCCTCCATGACCTGCAGGAAAAAAAAAAAAAAAAATCAACAAAAATACAGTTTATCTTAGTCTTTTATTCCACAAGCCTGGTCAGCTTATGTTATAAAATTTTACTGTGTACATACTTTCAAATCTGTTAACAACACTATAGTCTTCTTTAGAATAAACTTTCATTACTGCTTGAGTCTCCTCTTCTGTATTTGCTACACCCATTTTTAAGTCCTGCATAGCAGCCAAAGTATCAAGGCAACCTAAAAGAAAGCAAAATCAGGAAGAACTCAAAATTTCTTACTGTTGATTATGATCAGCGAAATGGAAACGAATACAAGTTAAAAAGATCAAAGCAACCTAATTGCTTTGTCCCTAAACCACACATTTTACTGAATATCATTATAGGTTTGATTAAGTCAGGGGCCACTGCTGTGGAATCTCAAGATTAGCTATTGAAGACTGTTTTCATTTAATTTATTAATTTTCCAGAATAACAAAGAAATGCAATTAAATTTACTTTCCAGCTTCTCCAATGAAGGGAGCAGGACAAGGAACTGATCACTCATCACAATCAGTGAGCAACTCAGCTAAAATAATTTCCAAAGCTGTGCTTTAAAACACCGAGTATATTGCATATGATCAGTTTATACACAAATACAGTGGGATTATATTTTGTTTTGGTAGACTTTTTAGACTACAAAAAAAAAAATCATATTACTCTTAGTGCCCCATTATACAAAACTGCAAGGAGTAAATTCTAATTTTAGGTATTGCATTTACTTTAGAATAAAACTAGCTTATTTAAGAATATTTTTTTCCTGTGCTTTGGAGACTCCAGGTTAACTTAACAGTACTTTATTCTGCAGACTGTCCAAAAAGATGATCTAAGAAGGTCTCTTTAGTCTGCTGAACGCTAGTAACAGGTTCCACCAGAACTCTAAAATCCTCTAGCATCACTAAGATGGCTGAAGATAACTATTTTGATTAGAAATAATGCCTATCAGTCAGACCATAAGGGTTAAGAGCAACAGTGAAAGATTATGAAGTAAAATTTTAACTCAAAAAGTAAGAAAGCTGTTAGATTACAATCCATTTATACATTAAGTAAGGTTTCTTTATTTCTTCTAAGCTTCTGACTCGTCAACTATAAGTGTATACCTAGAATGTGCAAAGCTGCATGAGATCTGGTGGTCAGTGCTTTGGAACCTGTTGGCAGAGCAAGTTCTGGACTCAAAATACTACACCGGGATTGCATGTCTGGAGCTGAGGGAAGTCTGGAATCGGCAACTACTGCATTGTAACTCCACAGTTCCCTAGCACTTGGTCGAAACCTAGAGCAAGACAAAACAGAGTAAAAAAAAAACTTTCACCTACTAAAAAAATTAAAAATCTAATAATTAAATTTTATGAGCTTTTTGATGTAAAATGTAGATCTGCTAGTAAAAACTCTTAAAACTGAATATCATTACATCAGATAATAATGACAGATGTGCTCAAAAATTAAAGATGTTAAGTGAAAGTAAAAAGGTTACTCACCTTCAAATAAGAGTTAAAAAAAAAAATCTTGAGAAATCCAAGATATTTTGTTTGGGCTTTTTTAAACAGATAACATCACCTTATGAGTTTTAAGGGATTATAGAAAAGGGCAGCATAAACGAGGGAATACAAAGACTTTCTATACTATAGATTAACATGGAGAAAACGAAAATAATAAGAGAAAATAGAAGTCTTTGATATCTCTATGTGAAGGGAAGAAATAATTAGAAGACATAGGCCTATGAGAGTGTTCTGAATAAACACAAAAGGAATTTTCCGAACGGGGCTAAGATGGTCTAAGCTAATAGAGAAAGAAATAGTTTTAACTAGAAATATTACAGGACACCATATGTATTCAGGATTTCAACAAGTTATCGATATGCATGTTTATACACATACACATATATGCACATATGAAATTATTTAACAACTTGAATTTCACTACTAATTGAAGAAGTCAAAAAGCTGTAAAGAAAATCTTTAAAATTTACATAATCAAGAATGTTATCTCTATACAGAGAAGCTGACCCCTTCATTTAAATAGTCATAAATAAAAATGCCCAGGAATAATAATTAATATAACAAATATTTCACTAGTAATAGGCATATTCATTAACATGTCTCTTCTTTAGACTGACAAGAATGGAATATAATACATAAGTAAATCTGCACAGTCTCCCAGGAATCCATTGTTCAGTTAAGTATTTAAGCTCTAGATTTAGTTTTACAGTCTCCAAAATTCTATGACAATAAAACACCTCAACTCATGTTTACCCGTAATATCTTTAATGTGACTTTGAACTTCCTCAAATTGAATAATCATTTTCATGTGTTACATTAAGTTGAGTGTCATCGCCTTTTTTCCTTTGAAACTTGCTGTTTTCCCTTGGCCATCGAAATCTGCATTTTTTCATTAACTGAATGTTTCAGTGCATTTTACTCATGCTGATAATATCACGGCTTTAAGAGACGTGGGTCTTACTGTTCCTTATTTCAAATCTCAGCATAATTAACAACTGGTACCTAACTGATGAAATTCAAACAATCCTGGGGTTGTGCATAAAGCAGGACTACAACTACAGCTATCCAAGGAACTTCAGATATCATAAAGGAACATGCCTAACAAATATGCATGCTTCAATGTTAGGTGGCTACTAAGTTCTTGAATCTCAATTTTGGATTGAGACATCCAAAGTAGGATGCAAGTAGCCTATGGACACAATAATGTTTTAAAGATATGATCCTACATGATGCTATCTTTTCCAGATGAATGCAGACTAGCTGGTTCCCTGCTTTATTCTATCTGGAGGTGATTATCCTTGTTTTGCCTAAATCTTCAAACAGTTTAAGCATCATCCACCACCTGCACTCGGATGACAGTTCAAATTTCTCTCCCAAATCCTGGCTAACAGTTTTTAAATCATTATAGAAGAATTAAATGTTATGATTCTGTTTTGGAACAAGAGCTTGTGATCCATGCCTGCTCAAAGACTCCATTGAAAGCCACCATCCCCAAAGACTGTGAAATAAATACAACTGTAATTTGAATGTCTATGCCATCTAAATAAGTATCTTTTTTTTTGACCTCCCAAAACATCAGAACTGAAAAGAATACTATTACTCCAACCCTTCACCTAATCAGATCTTAACCATTAACGCGAGAGAGAAAGATGAACATTTAAGACACAAGGGTGTGGTAGCTGAGTATGGCAAGGAAATTATTCAGCAAAGTGTTAAGTAGATGGAATAAAGTAAGGGAAAAATAAAAAGAGTAATTAAGTGGAATAGATTGAGGTCCCCCAAACATCATGAGACTGGAATGAGAACAATGCAAAAAGAAAAATGCAAAAAAAAAAATCAGGCAAGAGAAGATGCTTGTTTTGGGCTTACTTGAACAAATCATTCAAAAAAATGTAAAAAAAGATACATGGAACACTAAAAATTATTTTTCATTTACCAAGGAAATGAGCATAACCAAGTCTCCAGTCTCCCAAAATATTTTAAAAAAAGACTTTTTATACTATGACTTTAATAGCTATAATCCACACTTGCCTCCAAATAACATCATAGACAGGATCCAGACACACACCAGAACCTTGAAGGTCTTCCTGCTCAGAATCATTGAACGTTTTGCAACTGCCATCTACTTTGTTTATCAGAAGACATTTAAAAGGAGGAGGTTCTGATATTGAAGCTGGTACCAAACCTACATCAGGGAGCAAAAGAGCAGAAAAACCATGAAGACTTGACTCATTATGTGACATTTTCTATGCGTGAGCATTAATGTGCTAGAGAAGAACAGATATACCACTACAGCAAAATAGAAACTGTAGTAAGATTTAAGTGCAAGAAGAGTTTAGACTTTCACATTCTTATTTTTAATAAAATTAATTTCTAAAGGAGCTAGGATCACAATGTGCAGTATAACCAGAAAGTCAAAATATTTTCATTCCTTTCATTCACATTTTTGACTTGTTGCTTCGCTATTGTTCACATGACCAAAGCTATTTTTCTCCAAAACTTCTATAGGCATTTCAAATATTATAGAAGAGTTCTTGCCTATTATATGCCTGCTTGCAAATATCTCTGATGTAGCAAGCACATGAGAATTAATGAGAGCTTCATCAATCCGGAGAAAAGTCTGGTCGCCACTCGCTCCAATCCATGTTGCTTTGCGTCCATATTTAGATCCTATATTAGGCATAGGTGCTGGTTTTGCATTCCAGTAGGGCATATCCAGAATTGGTCTACCAAGCTGACCTTTCTATAGAGAGAATGCAAGAATTAGTAAATAACAGTAAGTCTCAAAGATGAACAAATTACTTTGATAGTTTCAACATACAAAATCAGTAATCTGGAAGAGAGAGTTTACCACAAAATTATCTTCAAAAAGCAACAGCTAAGTGAAGCATTACACATTTAAATACAAGGAACAAGTTATTGACAGTTTGTCCTCCCTATTCAGGTAGGCTTCTGAGTGAACTTTTTTTTCTTAAAGTAACTCAAAACTCTCCATGACAGATAACCTTCCTTTCTATCTTCAGATTCAAATATAAAAGCATTTATTCTCCTTCAATATCTGAATAATTTCAGTGCTAAAGAAGGAATGAATTAATAGGAGGAAAAAAAAAAATCTACATTCAGATTCAGACAGTCCAAATTCCACTCAATTCTGAACTGATATGGACTGTAAGCTCTACAGAGCAAATACCTCTTAAAAGTACCTAGAAATTGCCTAGCACATCAAACTTGAGCATAAAGTGCCTAAGGAAGCACTTCTGCATATGCTCATTAACATCCTGACCCGGAGATCTAGGGCCTTATCTCCTATGTACAAATAATTAGTGAGAGGTGGACCAACAGAGAGTTTTTAAAGCATGTAAAAGCAGCTCAATACCTATACTCCAGCTTTTGTCAAAAGGACATTAGTGGGAAAGCTGGAACAACAGATGACTGGAGAGATTGCGGTGAGGGGGTATTTGCAAAGACAAGGCGGCACAAAGGCCTGAAGTCGGGACGAAGGGGAACTAAATGATGTTGAAGTGCTTATTCAGTGAATATAAGAATGGATTCCACACGGACATAGCAGAATATATGCCACAGGGGTATGAAAGAAGAGTACCAGAGTTCTGCTGTGTTATACTGAGCAATAATCTCCCCTCAAGTGTAAGCATAACTTCTGCAACTTATTGCTGTTTCTATGGAGGAAAACAGGACACATTTTTTCTAACGAATGCAGGCAGATATGTAATAGAATAGATACTTATTTGCAACCAAGCTTGCAACGGTAAGAGTTTGAAAATACTAGTGCACCTTATAAAATAACCCAGTTTTAAATCACCATCTTCATTAAAATATAAAAACCACCAAGCATTTCTATCATGTTTTTCTAACCAAAATAATATCAGAGGTCACATTTTTAATTATAACAGACACAAAAGACACGTAGAAGTCATGAGTAGTTCTATAAGAGCAAGTATAAACAAACAGTTTTGAAAGGTCTTTGAACAATACATTAACTACTAGCTTATTCCCACAAGTAAATATTATTATTTCCTTACTGAGAAACTTCCAAATGTGAAAACCTGGCCATCCATTAAGAGAATAGCTGTATGGTTGCTCCCAGCAGTAACCTGTGTACTAGGACCTGGTAACGCTTGCACCAAAGTGGGACATCCTCTGTATCAAAATAAATTCATTTTTTATCAATACATGCTTATGCAACATTTAACATACATTAGTATTACAAGGATTTCAATCACTGTGAAATATACTCACTATGTTCACATACTATATGGATCCACAGTCAGGCAACTTCTTACATATTTAACAAACAGAGGTTTGAAAGACTGTATCGGATATTTACATTTATGCTCTCTTGTTACAGGCAACCAGATCAAGTACCTTCTCTTCAGTTAAACTCAGAAATTAGCATAGAACAAAAACGGTTAATTTAATATATAACTGTACAATTATACCAATGTTACATACTATACAATGTAGTTATGCTACTAAATATGCATATGTATATATGTATATTTATAAAAATATAGTGCAATGAACTGTAGCAGTACAAAAATTCTGTAGTGAGGATGCTGGCTAAGCACCTAACAAAATTGTTTGCATTATGAAGCAAATCAAAGCCTTATGTGGTTGGTACCCTAGTACAATTACCAGAAGCAATACTGATATGGCCCCTCCTGAGATCCCTGTCTAGGAAATAATAAAAGGAAGAGAAGGTCTACCCACCTCCATCAGCTTTCTAATAGAGAAAAGGCATTAAAAAAATGCTCTCCATCAAACTTACAGACTCAAGAAAGAACAAACCTCTCCAAACTGTTTTCCAGAAAGATCTGAAAAAGTCTATTCATATGCCTCCCGAATATGAACAGGTATAAGAAATAAATTTCCCATTCCAGTAAAAATGAAGGGGAAAAAAAACAAACAACAGTATGTTCAAGAGAAGATAAAGAAAATTTGAGGTGATGACTTAGAACAAAAATAGCAGAAAAGAGAAAAAGAAAGTAGTATGAGATACTAAAAGTAAAATTTTCATCTCAATCCCAAAGTGAGCAGGAGTCTACAAGAACTGTACCAGACTTTGAATTCCATAATGAATGTTTACCTAGACTTCAAATTTATTGTTGACTTAGAAAGACTGTGAATTTGAAGAACAAGTTAGTCCCAAAAAACTCTATGTTTGGGAACTCTTACCCCAGAGAACAGCAGCACTATTTAAACTTTTAAACATGCGCTTTCAAAAGTAGGTTGACCTAAAATAAGAACAGGTTGTCTTATGCTGGAATAAAAAAAGTGTCAGCTCACGGTTACCTAGCAATTGTTTAGCAGCTGATGTACAAGAAGATAGGTTATTTGTATGTTCTGGCTTTGGCTGAATTGCAGGTAAAACAGAAGTCATGAAAGTAAGAGGAAGGAGAGGCATCATGTT